TTCTGAGTTTGCATATGAACTTGGAATACGAAACGTAATAATTGAATTATATTTAAGTAAATATAGGAGATAGGAAAATGGTCTATTAAAAAAGAAGACAATTGCTAGACACAAAATATAAGAAATGGCAAACAATAAAAAAGAATAGGATTAGCAATACTAAAGATAACATTAAAAGTAATAACAATTATTTTCAAAAGAAAAAAATAATGACAAATAACCAAAAAATATAAAAAAATCACAATAAAAACTACAATGATTATAAAAATAATAGTAATAATAATAATAATAATAATAATAATGAAAGTAAACAAAATGATGGAAATTAAAATTAGAAAAAAAAAAAAAAACTTGCACAAATAACAAATAACAACATTTTTGCATTCCTACTCTAATGCAAATGAAATTGCTTGCATTTGCAAATTATATTCATTTTACCATCCTAGTGAGTACTAGGATACAATCTGGATAAATAAGGTAAGCATTTGGTGCTTTCCACTGAAAAATCATTACAAAGGGGGAAAAAAGGAGTTTTAGAAGAAGAGGGATAATGAAGAAACACAAAAAGGAAGGAAACAGAAAATGAAGAAAAACACTTCATCATTTGGCTGTGATTTTTGCTTCTCCAAGATATTGCTTGCAGTGCCACTGCATGCTTGCACTCCAATATCATGTCATTCATTCAGCTGTGAAATAACGAGTCAGAGAAAGTGTGTTCCTTGATGTGCAGGCAAAAATCCCAATACTAAGACATGCAGGAACATGATTAACTTCCATAAAATTCAATTAATAAAAAATCCAAGATGATGATGATGATGATGATGATAACTGATGTACAATAGTTATCATAACTAGATGTTAACTCAAAACTCTGATGTCTATAAATGCAAATTCACCAAAAATGTAACAGTGCAGAATGGCCTGAGAGGGAATGAATGCAGAAAAAGCATGCAAGCTTCCTGGATACACCAAGCACCGCATGCAAACAGCAACTGCCTATATTTGCCACTTCTAATTAATATTTCCCTCCCCTTTTTTCAAGTAAATAAATCTCTCTCATCTGCTCTGCACTAATCCAGTTTAGAGGATTCAGTCATCACCTCTTACAACAGTTGCTTGCACATTCCACCAACTGCCAAGATCTTTTATGCACATTTACTTGGGGTGAAGAAGTAACGACTGGAAACAAACTAGCACAAAAAGGCAGAAAAACGATCATATAATAAATATATATATAAAAAACAAAAGGGCCAAAAATAAAAAACAAACAAAAAACAACCAGAAACAAATATTCATCATTATATCAAACTTGCATGATTCACAAATGGCTTTTCAGTCTGTAACATCCATTGGGAGTGGTAAAGATTGCAACATTCAGTAAGGGGCACAAAGGGCAGTGGGCAACTGGGAGCAGGGGGATGGAGGGGTGGGGGCGGTCACGGGCCGACATTCAGGGTAAAAAGAAAGCTCTGAGGGGGATAAGGGGGCCAAGTGGTGGGCTAGCTGTGGTCATGGTGGGATTTTCACTGTTACCTTTCGAACTCCCTGAGCCTCCGTTCCCTGAAGAGGTGGAGGAGGATGAGGTCGTGGTGGCTTGGGGGGAGAGAGAAAATGGGGGAGGGTGATTACGCTGGCACAGTACAAATGGGGGTGGGCACGGTGTATTTGGTAATGGCCAGAGACCAGGTTACTAGGACCAGAGCCAGGCAGAGGCCGGCTGACCAGCTGGCTAGTCTCAAGGCAGTACTGACAATAAAAAAAAAATAGAAAACAAAAAAGAAAAAGAAAAATTAATAAATATTGGACAAATCTACAGCATTGTTCCCATTCTTTGTTCAGTGGCACAGAACATTAGCTTTCTTTCTCTCTAGCATGTCTTAAGGGGTACAAAGGTGGTCATGAGATTTAGGAACTTTGTGTAATGATGACTTAGGGTTACAAAAGCAGAAACATGGGTTAAGATGGGGACAGAATATTGCAATACCACAAGAAAATGAAATATTCGAAATATTCCAGAGACCAAAGGATGACAAAAAATTTGTGTAAATCAATCTGGGCAGATTTAATGGCTCAATGGATTAGGTGAAGAAGCAGACCGGCTTGAGGGGGAGGATGAGGGAAGAAAAGTGTCAAAGAAAAGACAGAGATAGAGAAGTGGGTGTGTAACAGAGAGAATATATGCTAGTGTGTGTTCTGTAATGGGAATTCTAGCAGTAACAGTTTATATCTAAAACTATTTATGATCATGTTAATCCTTAACTTTAGTCTCTGAAATAAAATGTAATGTATTTACATTTTATGATAAGCATAGCCAAAAAAGATTTCTACTTAGTTCCAAGTGCTAAAACAACAGTCATTCAAAATTCAATAATACATTTCACTAAATGAAAATAACACCTCCGTGCATACTTAGATAATGAATTATATTTTTACGTAACACAACTCCGTGAATGCAGCATGGCTAAGATCAAAATATTCTGTAATACCTTTAATATATCAA